AATAATTTATTTTCAATCTTGTTAATTATTACGTAAACATTTCTTAAGCTTTAGTTAAATAGACTTGTAGAAAATTTGCAAAGAAGCTCACTTGAATCTACAAGAAGAAATATATAGTGGAACCTCGCTTAACGACTATAATCCGTTAGATTTTTTGGATTTTTACTGATATAATGAAGCACTCGTATATTGAAACAATTGTAGAAAATGATGTAGCAGGCATACAATCCGGGATTTCTCTTCTCCCAGTCACTCGTTATGCGAAACATCGTTCGTTAAGCGAGTCATTTTTCTTATAATTCATTAAGTGAAATGCTCGTTATGCGAGGTAGTCGTTAAGCGAAGTTCCACTGTACATATTTTACTTTTACATAAGAAATTAACGACAATCTTTTTCGTTATTAAAATACAATAGTTTTAAGTTACATAAAAAAACTTAAATAAACAGTTTGTAAATATTATGATATTAGTGACACATTTCACAACTGTGTTCATATCCAATTATTAACGCATTAAATTATGGACTGATGAAGTGACGGCGATGCGTGGGAACATCCTTTCCCCGAATTGACAGAAATTATTTATCACTGAAACGCGTGCCTCTCGTAATCAATTCATTGGCTTATTGGCATATGAAAATTTAATGAATTCAACGAACAGAACAATTCCCAATTCAGCCAAAATCAAACACAGCAGCAGCAGTTTCCCATTTCATAAACTAACAGAAAAAATGTAAATAAATAATTAACACAGTGAAATAAACAAAATATTTTTAATTAATTGTTTGATATATTAGATTTTTTAAGCTCCTTAATTAAAATGTTAATTGGTATTAAAGAGAAGATGATTTAATAACTAAAAATAATAGAAATTATTACAGTTTCCCACTGAAAAATTGTACGTTCATATGAACATTGAATACGTTGGTGTGATAATTACGTACTAAATAAGATGTAAATGAATGCATTAATATGGAAATATTTCACTTGAAATCTGTGTTCGTGTTATGTACGTAAACTGAGCAACGTTTGTAGTTATAAATTTTAACTGGTAGTTGAAAATACTCGTGCAATGTATAGTATAGTAAAGAGCACTGTGTATTTGTTTAAGCAAAGTTTCACGGTAAATATTTTGCAGTATCTTCAGCTGTATGACACGCCGCTCGATAATTATGAATAAATATTTGGTCACGGCGTGGAGACAGCAGACGCGGTAAATTTATCTACTGAACTGTGGTGGCGTGTAATGGAATCAGCTGTGGGAATATCAGATTCAGACGAAATCGCATTTATTTTCACCGTAAATTCCCTAAAAAAAAAGTCAAGTCCATAGAGACTTGGCTTACGCAAATAATTACGTACGGAAGAGGGCAAAAAGCATTTCCTGTAACACTCATTTATTATGAATGTACGTACATTCATAATAAATTACTTTGTCTCAAATCGTTACAGACTTTGATTCACATGTTAATGTGATTTTTCGTATTTACGTCAAAAAAAAACTCTTTGAAAAACGTTTGTTTTTAAGAGTGACGATAATTGTTATTGTAAGTCTAAGTACATATAATAAAATTAATAACAACAAGTTTGAAATAAATTGAAGAAAAAACATCATTATTATTTTTAATAAAATATTATTTACAATCATATTTTGATGAAAATTATAAAACTGTTCAATATATTATATTTTACTTTTAATAAAACTTGTTTAAAATTAAAACATTACATTTGTAAATACATAATTTATATATAATAAGCAAACATCGTTCGATTTTCCTATTTATCTTCAATTCTGCACGAAACTGCTTCATTTACATATAAGCAAGACGTTATGTAAATAATGAGTCGAGATTTATTGAAAACCGCAGAAACACATCTATTTTAAGCAATTTATTTGTAATATTTGGTAAATGTTAACTGCATACAATTAAAATTATTAAAAAAAGATAGAGAAATATAAATTTTCCTTTACTTAGAAACAAATTTAGGATTTATAAACGGTAATTAGTAATTTCAAATGCACGTTTTTCTTTATATTAATTAATTGCAAGTCTTTGATGCAGTTCCAATTAAAATTATTTCAGCTTTGTCGACGGGTGCACCTAATTATTTTATATTCAATAACTAATTATTGAAAATGTCATCAACAGACAAATGTTCATCAGAACCGTATTTTTCTTGTTATTCTCTAATAAGATGAGAGCAAGCTTTGATTATTAATATATCCAAGGAAGTAAAAACATGAAAGATCCTAATTAATAATATATAATATGTATTCTATAAAGCTCATTATTACTTAATTATTAACAAATTAATTGGATTGAACATGAAATTAACATGCTTAAAATTTGATAACTTATAATAAATGTACTGATAAAACCACAATGCCAGCAAATAGCTTATTGGAAAGAGTATAGTTTTGTCTTTAATTTTTGTATTCGATGGTTTAATTAGTACTAGTGGTAATCGAATAATTTAGAAAACGTGAAGGTGTTGCATATAATTGAAAAAAATAGTTAAAAACTGTTTATATTCATATACATTGGAAAATTTTAATTTACTGTTTTAAAGAATAATTTTTTGGCTTTCGTTTGCTATAAAATACTTTAATATTGGTCAATTAATAAGAAAGTTATTATGCTTTAATGAGTTTGCGGTTTTCGCGTATCAAAACGCAAGTACCCCCCCACCTTTGATACTCGAAAATGCCAGAAAATTTCGATTTGTACCAGGAGACCATGACTAGCGAGGAGGTATCTGAGCTCCTAGCATCGGTCGTTTCTGATTGGTTGTAATTTGAAATTTACGTTTGTAACAGTTCGCTCGTTTATTGGATTTCCTGTTTATTCTACATTGTTTTGAATGCAAACTTAATGAACAATATGCTCCATTTCTTCCTTCTTCTATTTCCTTGTATGGATAACCTTTCTCTCAAATTTATTTCACTTCGGACAAGTACCAATGGAACATGTAAACAACCATTGATCACTAAAGTTCTTTGTCTTCAGAAAACAGATACTGCAGCTAATTAGGGACAATTATTAAAATCTTTTACATAAAACAGTGTTTTCATATAAGAATGTGCATTAATTGTTAATAGTCATAATGTAAGTAGTAAACAATCATCGATGCAATTGTTATTATTTTAGGTGGAGCTGCCTCTAATGTATAGTTGATGACCTTAAGTTCCCCAGAAAGTGGAAAGCATTCTTTACTAGCAGTTTTCATTTGCAAATAGTGGAAACCTTAACTGCTAAAAGTGACCAAAAATATTTCTTCATTAAGAGGATGGATAACAACCATGAACCCTGTAGATTGTATTGTAGCTTCTGATATGTTCCTTAGAGATTGGAAAACATTTCTGAATGCAATATGCATTGAAATTACTGGAAAAACAAAAATGTTAATTTTCATCAAATTCCCTCAAATTCCCAGAAGCTATGGTAGCTGAAAACATGTATTTATGCTCATTATAATCTCTGTATATTCTAGATCAAAATTTATATACAAAATTCTACTAGGAACAAGTTTTTTTTATGAAACTACAGTACATTTTCGAAAACGTTATTGTTCCATCTGTCATTTGTGAAATACCAAAGTTTGTTAATTAATTATGAAAACGCTATAGCCGCTATAATCCAATATTTATGTTCATTTGAATCTATGTATATTCAAGATCAACATCCATGTCTAAAATTCTTATGGAAGGTAATTTCTACGCAAATACAAGCCATTTTCGAAGACGTTATTTTGCCAGCTGTCATTTGTGAAATACCAAAGTTTGTTAATTAATTATGAAGACGCCATAGCAGCTATAATCCAATATTTACGTTCATTTGAATCTACGTATATTCAAGATCAACATCCATGTCTCAAATTCTTGTGGGAGCTAATTTCTACGAAAATACAAGCCATTTTCGAAGTCGTTATTTTGCCAGCTGTCATTTGTGAAATACCAAAATTTGTTAATTAATTATGAAGACGCAATTGCAGCTACAAGCGTACATGTATACTCATTTTAATCTGTGTATATTCAAGATCAATATTAATGTCTAAAATTCTTCTGAGAGTTGGTGTATACGAAAATACAGGTCATTTTCGAAGACGTTATTTTCCCAACTCATTTGAGAAATACCAAAGTTTGTTAATCAATTATGAAGACACCATTGCAGCTACAAACTAATAATTACGCTAATTTTAATCTATGTACATTCAAGATCAAAATCCATATGTAACATTCTTCTGGGAGCTTATGTTTACGAAAATACAGGCCATTATCTAAGACTGTTTTCCTACTTGCTTATCAAAGTTTATATGTATGTTTGGTTGCAGGCTGTTTCCTGAATATTCCCAAAGATGTCTCTGCTTGTGTAAATTTAAACACATAAAACTCGAAAATTAATTAGCATTTAAATTAGTATACGTAAGTAATAACATAAGATTCATTCAAGCATTATTCTCATATGTTTGTTTATTAAAATTAGAACGTTTCTAAGGAAGTGGATTTTGTGCAGCGCTAAAATGCCTGAACTACAACCTTCGAAATATTGCTAAGAGATGGAGTCAGCTATCACAAAAAATGGAAGATTCATTTTGCGCCTAGAGTGCACGCAACCAAATATACATATAACATTTGAATAAAAAGTAGGATATGGTCTTAGATAATGTACGAAAAAAGTTTTTCCTTAATAATTACATAATTTTCATTACGTAACCGAGAAACAATGTTATGTTTTATTAAAGAAATAGGAATGTAATAAAAATAAGAAAATCATTACATTTTTATTTAATATTAAAAATAGTAATAATTAGTCCACTTAGAGTACAATCATAATGCAAAATAATTATATACAAAACATGTATCATTTACTATATATATATACAGACAATTTGTTTTTTTTAATAGATGTAACTTTTTAAAAGCAACATAAACGTAATATTAGAAGCTTCAATAATAATCTTCAAAATAAAATTACTATAAACTAATTAAACAATGTCCTTTTCTTATATATTTGGATTATTTTACAATATATAAATCACAATTTGTTTTCTTTATATGTAAATGAACACAAGAGATAATTACATATGTGAAAAATGTGTGGAGGAAATGTATGTACAATAACGAATCTAAAACAAACTAACTAAAAATAATACTATAGGTAAATATTATGTACACTGAATGACGGTTTGCCTCAGCATCAATATACAATTATACAGGGTGATGGCTGGTCCTAGTTTAAACCTCAGCACTTCGGTCAAATCTTGTTGATTGAGCATCAGGAAAGATAATCCATCGATGCGATTCGATCCGAAATGCGAGGCGTAATCTCTACAACAAGGCACGGATGCAATAAAGTTCATCACCTCCTGACAGTTCCAATGGCGAGGATCACTTTCCACATGCACATATCTATCTAAATATTTCGAATGCCTCGCACGCATTCTTTGTTCGTCCAAATTCACATCAGCAAAATCCAAAACGGTATTGTTCTTAGGCTCATCCGAACGCACACTGTCCTCCAACTCCTCCTTTATCCTTTTCGCCCTTCCCATATCGAATTCCATGTCCTGTTCGTCATCGCTCCATTCTCGCTTCGGCTCCTCGAACGCCATTTTCGTTGCAATTATATTCTTCATTTTAGAACTAAAATTTAAACAAAAATCAAATTAAATTTACACATTCAAAGTCTTGATTGTAAAAGTTCTTACATTTTATCTCTGGGTTCTCGACTAACTGGAACAACAGCCTCGACCTGTCTATCCGGACTTAGCAGCCTATCAGGTAATATCTTCTCCATGTCTATATTTTCGTCGGCATAAGGGCAGAATTTTGGTGAACTGTGAGTAGAATGTATAGGTCCTTGGATATGACCTTGTCCTTTGCAACCTATCGTTGCGCATTCCAAAAAGTCGTACACATCATTTGGAGCTGTAAATCAAAAAAATACATTAATCACATACTTATTTTTTTTAACGTGCTAAATCTTACTCAGGGGTGGTTCCAAATGATGTCCAGTTTTTTGGCACCAACTGATCGGATGGATGTCGGTGGAATCGTCGTCCACCCAATACGAATATCGATCGGGCCATCCATCGAAACGGATCCTCAGCTGGTTTTCGCGGAGCTCTTCGACGGTGGCCACACGGATTATCCTCGGTACTCGCTTGTCCACGCATTCTAGTCGCATGCCTCTTCGGAATCCGTTGTTGGGTCGTTGCTTGAAGGCACGAACCGGAGCTGCCGATGCTTTCGTCTCTTTCAGGTATTTGTCCCATGTAAACGATTCTGGATCAGGATAATCTAAAATTATTTATTTTGTTATATATGATTTGAACCGATTAATTGGCACAGTCAAACTCTAAAACTAACTATTTAAACTGTCCAGTCTTATTAAATTTTTAGATCAATAATGCTTGCCAAGTAAATATTCAAAAATCCAATAATAAATGTTGATGCAAACTAAAGTTTGCCATAGATGCAACAGGTAATCGATTTCGAATGTTAGTATACAAATTATGTAATGTAATAAAATTCTTACCGTTGGGAGGAGTGAGATTATGACCATGCTTATCACACCAGCCAACTGGATGAATGTAAGGTGAAGTGGGATCCGCCCAATAATCGTAAATATCGTCCCAACTATCGAAATGCACAAGAATCCTATTATCCATCATATCGGTTATTGTAGCGACGCAAACAAGAGCTGTGTTCTTTCGATCGACCGCTTCCAGTTTCATGCCTATCCGAAATCCGTTAGGAAATATTGCCTGTGTAATAAAATCATAAATAATTATAATATTGTTAATAATTTTTCAATATGCAATAGGACTTACGTTCGTATTCCGATTGAAAAATAGCGTTTTAGCTGCAGCCGTTGAATGCGTTTGCTTCAGGTAATTGTTCCAATTGAAATCCTTCTTGTGATCGGGCGGGGGATGCAGGGTATGACCAAATTTTTCACAAAACCCAGCTGGAAATATGTTCATACTGTCTGCGTTCACCCAAAAATCGTAATTGTCTGGGTAACCATCGAAATGCAAACGTATTCTGTATCCAAGAGTTTCCACGACTGTGAGTACGCAGAAATAGGAAGGATGTTGTGGATCAATTCCCTCCAACTTCATTCCCGCCTTGAAACCATTACGACCGTAAGGAAATGGATCTTTGAATAGTTTTACTGGAGCCGCCACAGCTTTTAGATGGTCCAAGTATTTGGACCAAGAGAATCCCTTCTTGTGACAAGTCCATGGATAGGCGAATTTATCCGACGAGTTCTCGTTGGATGTGTTTATTAAATTCTCGTCCTCCGACGATTCCATCTTGACGAATTCATCGCTTTTTCTGAAATACTGCTTTTTCTTCCTGTGCTTCACAGGCGGTTGGACATCCTCGCGTTCACCTGCTTCCTGACAGTCGTTGCTGCAGTACTTCGGACTGATAAAATCCGAAGGCATGCCGTAACAGCCACATATCAGGCACCTCATCTCGACTTGTTGCGCTACCTTAGGCTTTATCCTTTTCAAGTTCATCTTCTTGAACTCCTCGTCCGTCAAATATTCCAGCATTCCGAATTCGTTGATGTGGAACTTAATGTTCGTCGACGGTAGAGAGCCGACGCCGCGATCCCAGTGCAGCAGCTTAGACACATCCTCATCTTCGCACAGCACGTCCTCCAATTTCGATATCTCCACATCATCTTTAACAATCATCTTTTCAGGCTCCTCCTCCGTCTCCTCTTGAATATCGTCGTAGTCCTTCCGGAGGCAAATTGTCGACTTTCTTCGACGTTCGCTTTTCCGGACGAGAGGAGGCGGCGGCGGAGGTGCAATCCCTTCGTCGTGATGCTCAGACTGAATCTTCACCTCTTTCGTGCCCGGATCTGAAATGGTAGTAATTGATTTTATAATGGCAGTTGGGATTGGATTATTCTCTTTTCGGTCCACGTGAGTATTGTACGTTTTTTTCAGTATGGAAACGCCGTGCTTTATCAATTTCGGTAACTTCTCGTCTTCGTTTATTGATATCGTGTATCCGTTGTCCGCGACTGAATCCTCGACTATAGATATTTGATACGATTTATCCTGAGCCTCGACGTTCTTCGCCTCTTCATCGATTCTCTCGTTGCAAAATAGAGGGTCTGTCTGTTCTTTACTATTTTTAGCGACGTCCAGAATCGTTTTATCTTCAGGTAATTTCAAGTTGATTACGTGGTTAGGTTTTGGCTGCAGTGTAGGGAGCATCAAAGAGATTTGAGATTGGACAGAGTTGGTGGTGGTTGTGGATAAACGATTGTTGCTCATACTTGACAAGGGACTGAGAAGAAACTTTTGGCCCATGGTGACACTGTTCAGCTGCAGACCATCCTTTGTTGCAAACTTTGATATTGAAGGTATAGGTATTTGTGGTGGTATGAGACTGGTGGTCTCGTTTGGCTTACTCACTGGCTTCAGCAGATATGTTACTCCATTTTTCTGTATTGCAGGCTTCTGCAAAAGCTGATTACCAATCAACAGACTTTGAGGGGCCAACTTTGATGCATTCTGTATCTGTATCTGCGGTAGAGCATTCATTATAACATTGTTGCTGTTCGACTTGTTCGTGGTTATTTTCGAAGGGGTCTGTATGTACACAACAGGCAACATATGGTGACCAGTGACATTCTGCATCACTGGTGTTTGACTAACTGTTGTAGTAGTAATGGTCACCTTTGGTTCAACATTGTTTAAAAGTATGGAATTGACTTCAGAAGGGTTGCCATTTGGACTGACTAGATCGGAGGAAGCCATCTCTGCAAATAAATAAAGAAAATAATTAATTTACTTGTCTGCAGATTATTATAACAGCATAATAAACACATTGCAAGGTGCATTACTATATATGTTTGTTTTGTTCCCTGTTATCTGTCAGGGTTATAAACTGGTGAATATCTATGTTCACGGACTGGTAAAGGTGACGAAACTTACCTAAAGAGAGGCGAAATGTTATATTCCAAAGGATAACGACGAAAACTAATCACCAAACTGCATTTTCACAGCTTCAAATTAAATTTTTCACTAGCATCGAAGTAACACACTGATTCAAGCATTCGATCTTGGAAATTATATCCACCGTACGTCTGCCGCGCAAGCGCTCGTAACAATGCGTGCGAAGGGGGACATAGCATGGCGCGCTACCTCTATCCTTTTACAACAACCTCCCACAAACTCGCTCCAAAAACTCTTTGTATTTGTTTCAAAGATACTCAAAGTAGTAACGAAACAATCCAAGTTACCGCTAACTTCAGCAGCAACGGACTGCGGAAACGGAAACCAAATATTCCCCCCCTCAAGTACAAGATCACTCTACGTTAAAAACAGAAGTATAAAAATAATTAGCAAACAGCATTTAAAAAAAAACGTAGAACGTTACCTTCAGCTTGAGCTTTTACGCTTCGCATCCCAAACTAGTCTTTAATGTTTTCCGTAAATAATGCTCCCATGTTCGTATTATATCAACGTGTTTGTGTGTATTCATAACTAGAAAGACTTTTCCTTTCCTAGGTCGAGCACTACGTAAGCGCAACCCACAGTGCACACTTCCTAATTGTGTCAAATTGTTTTACCTTCGAAGGAGTTCTCTAATTCATCCCAGCTCTGAACGTCGTCGTGCGTAAAATACGAAACAGAAATTACGAAATACTCATTTACCTTGAAGCGAATGCTGAATCGAAACTTTTCACTCCTCTTTTCTCTGCCCTGACAGTTCTATCACTGTTTGAATGCAGATTACATGCTATACTAGTGTTACAAAACAAAGCAAATCACTTCGCTGCACGAATGGATAATTTCCATCGTTTTTCAGGATATTAATCTATTTTCCAACTGCTCCGAATTCAAGCGACTATCACTGCGATACTTATAGGCAACACACCTCAAACACGTGTATAGTTATGAGCAATCTGCGACAAATTTCTACTAACACGATGAAAAACAAGGTCTTTGACCAAAGACTACGCATATATTTATCATTGATACAACTCAATCCACAATATTTGATTTTTTTCAATTTACACAATTTTTATTAATTATTTACAATATCTCATTTTTCTTAACTAATATCCAAACACAATCAATTATTTCTTTAATTTTATCGCTTAAATTGTCCAATTTTATTGGCACCAATTTGCAGGGTCAATAAAAATGTTTAAGTAAAAGAAAATGCTTAACTTTAACCAATATAATTTTCTTAAAATACTTGTAGAATATTACAAAGAAGTAAATGATTCATAAAAATAATTTAGGTTGAGTAGTGTCCTCCATTTTTATTTTGTTATTGTATCGATTTTTCATTAAATATTTCTCTTCTCTTTTGCTTCTATTTATACGTCGCTGCTACTACTTTCAAAATAAACAGTTAACCGTAAAACAAACTAATAAACTTGTATTTGTTTGCTACTTTAAGTAAATAACTTATTGTAACAACTATTACTTCTTAAACTTTATTATGTCACGCTGTTTACTAACGCATCATTAATTATTTATTTTAATTGTTTATAATATGAAGTCAATATGAAATGTATTTAATAAGTGGAATGAAAAATATAGCAGCTGTATCGTAGGGTAATTCGTAAAATCGATTGTCTTCGTTAGTCTTTTAGTAGGTCTAATTGTTAATCGAAAGGGATATTAATGCAAGAGTTAATAATCAAACCTTCTACTGTGAAGACTGCAAAAATCTTCATAATTCCCACAATCTCAAATACCGAAGCGGAGACTTCACTCTGGGGACATAGGATAAACAAAATATTATAATATGTCTACAATTAATAACTGTCAAGGAATATCCGGATTTAAGGGCATTTTATAACCAATTGTATTCATAAACATATTAAATCTGTTTTAATTAAAAAAAAAAATACTCATGTTTTTTTATTCAAATTTGTTTTATTAAAATGAAATTGACTATTTATATACAAATAAATAAATACTAGAAAAAAAAAATAATGCGAAATGGAGTTACAATTTTACATTCGATCTGTTGTGTTTCAAATGGCTCTTCACTAAATGTCCTTCGGTTAGTGCAGCCATCAGGGAAACCTCTCCAGCTAGAACAGTGGCGCAGACGATTTTCGCCAACTGGTTTGCATTCTCACCGGGACGCTCCACGTTCGATCCTTTCACGCCCAGCATATCCAGGCAGGCTCCTTGAGGTGATAATATGGTTCCACCACCTACGGTTCCTATTTCAATCGATGGCATCGTGCACGTGATGTACAGATCTTTTCCATCATCGCCGCAGCTTTCCATTAGGGTCATGCAGTTGCTGCTGACGACGTTTTGAGCGGCATCCTGACCTGTGGCTATGAAAATGGCAGTGACTATATTAGCTGCGTGGGCGTTGAAGCCGCCAACACTTCCGGCCGCAGCAGATCCAATCAAGTTCTTCGACAAGTTAACATCGACTAATCTTTCTACCGTTGTTTTCAATACAGTCCTGACGATTTCTTCGGGGATGATGGCTTCGCATATAACCGATTTACCTCTTCCTTCCAACCAATTGATTGCAGCAGACTTTTTGTCCGTGCAGAAGTTACCGCTCAAACTCAAAATTTCCATGTCTTCAAATTTATCTTTAAGGAATTGTAAGGCAGCTTCTGTAGCTTTTGATAACATGTTCATGCCCATCGCATCTCCGGTTTTGGCTACAAATCTGATGAACAGTAATCTTCCGAATAGACGCGGATGGATTTTGGTCAATCTCGCGAAACGACTTGTACCATCAAACTTTACTTTAATACTATCGAAATTTGATTCGATCCATGTCAAAGTTTCGGTCGCCTTCTCCAACGTGGAGAAACGGACGACAGGTCCTCTAGTCATACCATCAGCGATCAATTTGCTTTTGATTCCACATCGATTAACCGCGCGACAACCTCGATTTGTACTGGCCACAAGGCATCCTTCCGTCGTAGCCAAAGGCACGTAATATGTCTTTCCATCTAATTTCAATGGTCCCGCCACTCCAACTGGCACCGGAATGTACCCCACGTTGTTCTCACAACAAACACCCATCACCTTATGGTAATCATAATTTTTATAAGGTAAACCTTCAAAATTTGCTTTCAGCAACTTTCTCCGAATCCTCACGGCGCGTTCGCAATCCCCTAGTGCCTTCTCCAAGTTATACTGCGAAATTACTTTGGTTCTAACCAATTCCATTACGTCGTTGTCACCAGATTCCTCTAATTCAATCAACTTCGCTTCATCCTCTAAACTGCTCTGTTGCGTCTGCACTTCCTGGTCGTGTCTTAAGATCTTCAACAAATCGCTTTTACTATCCGTTCCACTGAGTTTGTTCTCAAAGAAAACGAATTTAACAACTAACGCTGATAACAGTATTAAGATCACCAAATGATCGGTGCTCAAACTGACCCATTTCATAATTAACGAATAAAGCGATGATTCATTAGACGCGTTTGGTTCTTCTTGTACGACGAACGGTGTTATAACATCGTCTTCATTTTGCGGCCAACGACTGTGTGCATGCACCAAAGTCAATCCAACAGACATGATGATCTTAACTCGTTGCAGAACTGGATTCGAACTCTTCTGCTCGTCTTCTTGCAAAGCTTTGCAGAGGCTGAAATTCGATTCGGAGATGCGCGACACCTCCAGCGTGAGGGAAAGACACGCCGGGTAAAAAGTCATGAATACTATGTAATTAACAATAACTGATAAACAGGCGAAGCAGGATAACACATTCAGGCGCTCCACACCTGACAATGTCCCAACACCAATCACCAGAGTCTCCACAATTGTGTCCAAAGTGATGGTCGGTCCAAGCACTGACATGCCTCTGGCAATATTGATTTTAACTTCTTCATGGTTGGAGGCGCTCAAAGCATACTCTGCTAGTTTAGCAGCCTTTGATAAATCAATGAGTAAAAGGAAGAAGAATAGGGCATCCTTCAGTTCAACAACTTCCACTTGCAGCAAGTTTAACAGAGTTGTGCTGAATATGAAGCTGGAAAAGACTGTGAACAACCCAGCTATTCCTAAAATGTATTTTGATCCAAGCTTATGGAGATTGCAGAATTGGTAATATCCATAAAGCACTGCCAGACATCGGATAAGTGTCATCACTATAACATCAGCTGCATTGTACTCAACATCTTGCAGACACTCCACACAGTTTCCATGGATTTTTGCTTTTGGTGGAGAGATGAAAGACTGTTGCTCCACTGTTAGCATGCATGCTGTTAAAGTTAGTGTGGCAACGATCACCTCCCATGGATGGCTTGCACAGAACTCTCCATGGACACGAAAAAACTTAGTATACATTATACTCACACTCAAGTATTTAACAGCACTTTCACATAAACATAATAGATCAACAACAGCGAATTTTATAATCCACTTTAGTCAGGATTTATATTAGTTGTGTAAGTACATATTTCTTTCAGGAAAATAATTGAAAAGTTAGGTTATTCTTTTGACATTACTTAAATATATATATTATATACATATATATATACAATTGATACATTTTCCGGCTGAAAATTGCGAGAACCGTATTTTGAAAAATTATAAACGGCGTTCAGCGTCGTAAACATTAGTATAATGCAGCCAAGTAAACCTGCGTTAGGAACAAGCGGTTTCCAAGAAGTAGAAGAATAATTTAAATGTTAATTTGAATTATTATCTTAAATTATAGCATCTAAATTGATATCTTAAATAAATAAAGCTAATAGAGAATAAAATAATTAAATTTGAGCGCAATTTAAATAAATTATTTTATATATATGCAACCAAATGCACACGTTGGACATATTTTGAAATTGATGCTTGAGTAAATGCGTTGTAAACATAAAATATGTTTTACAAATGATGTAAAACAGACAAACCAATTAAATAATCGTTAGATTAACGAAATACGTTTATTTTATGCATGATTTATGTGCGATTTGCGTTTAGAGGAATTGAAATTGTAACGGATGACGTGAAATAATATGCCTTAATGGACTTGCAGACAGAACCTGTAATAGCACGCTGTTTACACCACACATCTTCGGTAATCATTTGATTTGAACAAAGTGGATAATTCCATTGCAAATGATACCGAAAACAAGTCCCAACAACACCAAGAACAAGTTGCAAGTTTACGAAAATCCTGACCTTATTCTACTAGGAATTTATTGAATCTGTTTCGTATACATTAGCAGTATTACAATAAAACGTATTACGCTATTTTCTAATTAATAGAGACGTGCAGCAAAACGCTGGATACCATTACTTAAACATAGTTTTGTGCAATGATAGGCAATGAATGAAGAATAATTGTTGTATGCTTAAAGACCACAACTGGTAGCTAACCGAGCCGTATTCCTCATTGTAACACATCCCTTAACACCGAGCAATTGTTTAGTTTATCGTTTATACAAAGAATTGGTAATTATAAAATAAAAATAAAGTCTTACCATCTAAATATGTAGCTTACAAGGAGTGCACATGCGCTTCGCTGGCCACTTGGAAACACAATGTTCTTCTTCTACAACGTTGCCGATGCTCAAGGATCTGGATGTATCTATAGATAACCGGTGATTTCTGAAAACGTGCGCCAGGACGAAAAAATCCAATCGATTATTATTTCTCTATAAATAGCTCTTTCATATTACATTCAAATTCAGACGTTTATTATTTCATCCATTCACAACAATTATTTTCTTATATAATCTTAGTTTTATCAATTGTATTTATCAATATAAATCATTCATAATACAACAATTTGTTATCTAACTACCTTTTTAAACTATTTTCTTTATATACCTTGCATTATTGATATATCTATGGATTTTGTTAACTAAATATATTTTTTATTGACCAAAATATGTAATAAAATGTAGTAAACATTGTTCTAATAAATAAATACGTAAATCTTAAACATTTCATGTTGCTTTAATATTTCTTCTTCTCCTTCCACTAATGAGTCTCTTTCTGGAAACACATATCACTTATTATCAACAATGATTAAGTGGTAAGTGTCAAGTCGAAACCTCTGCAAAATCAGTAAATCGAGAGGGAAACGCTTTAATATTTAAAATATTGTTATTTTCTAATGAACACCCTTACTTTATACAAGAAGTTAGTTACGATAAATGTGATATTGAACTATGTGAGTCATTGAAACAAAGTTCAATTTGTATCATTCAATAGTATTGTAATTAAATCATTAATAGTAGTATAAATTCTTTATAAATACACATAATATACTGATAATTAGTGAGAGGATTGTTATAATTATTGATTTTTTATGTAACGGTGTCTTCTGACCGTTGATGATGGTTCATGGTCATCGTTGTGATATGAGGTGTTTTTCTATAAATACAATTAATCGAGTAGGTTTTGTACTGTGTATAAGAGTAAATATTGTTGAAGATGGAGATAAAAGCGTAACTACGGAATTTATAATAACCGTTAAATGGTTTTAAATATTTTGTTTGGATGCTTTTATTTTTTCAAATAGGAGCGGGACATTTAAATTTTAAATGTATGTTGCATAATATACGTTTAGAGATTATATAATTGCTGCTTTACAAATGCATAATGTGCAAGGAAGTTTTCGAATGATCAAAACGTCTTTAGGTGATCGAAATTCAGTGGAATTATGTGGATTTCTGAAATTTTCCAAACGCTGGCAACGTTGTGTTCATCAGCTGATCGTCCCCCTACTTCTGATGCATTGTATTTTGACGCATCTCGTACTGTTTTGGATGCACCCAAGCGCCTGATGTGACATTTTATGTTATAAATCGCATCGAACAGCAGATATCTAATATTGTCACACGTTACGAACTGAAGATAAAAGGTAAGTGAGTTATTCCGATCGTGGATCAAGTCTGCAGAGCGACGATCTTTAAACTTCTTCCTGCTATTTGTCAACTGCAGTTGCACTCCATTTAATACCTATTATAAAATGGTAGAAATTTATTTTTTTCTCTTTCACCTGCTGCTTGATAAAAAAAAAATGCTATTCAAATTATTAGATGAACATGTTCCAGTTTTATGAGATGGGGGGTGCAGTGAGTTCAGGTCGCAACAACAATCACCTGATTGATAATTTGGTTGATAATGATTACATACACACAATCATGGTGGAGAGGGTGTTCCGGGCAATCGACCGAGCAGAATATATGCTGCAGGAGTACAGGTGTGAAGCATACAAGGATCAGGCTTGGAGACATCAACACTATCATCTGTCAGCACCTTGTATTTATAGTGAAGCTTTAGAGGGGTTGAGGCTGAGGCCAGGACTTAGCTTCTTGAATTTGGGTAGTGGCACTGGGTATCTGAGCACCATGGCTGGTCTGATTCTGGGTAGCAATGGTGTCAATCATGGGGTGGAATATCATGAGGATGTCATCAAGTATGCCTACACCAAGTTGGAGGAATTCAAGAAATACTCTGGTGCCATAGACGAATTCGACTTCTGTGAGCCACAGTTTATGCAAGGTATAAAAAAAAAACATCTTTACAGAAGAAAATGTATTGTATCTTTTAATTAACGTTTAATTAACAAATTACTGATACTATTTGTTTACATTTGCAGGAAATTGCTTGGCACTTGCGCTCACCCGCAGGTATGATAGGATTTACGTTGGAGCGTCCTGTCCTGAGCAGTACGATGATTTCTTGAAGAGTTTCTTAAAAGTTGGCGGCATTATGATCATGCCGTTCCGAGATTCCCTGATGCAGGTCCTGCGCGTTTCTGAAAGCTCCTATCACGTTTGTCCATTGATCCCAGTGACTTTCGCAATGCTGATTCTACCGAAAACAAACAATCCAGAGCCGCAGGAACTCCGTAAGTGCATGTGCACGCAAACGAATCGCAAATTTAATTAAATACTCTCCAACACAGTTGACATTCAACCGCTGTCCTTGCAACAGATGTGCCGTAATAAAATCAGAAATATTCTGAGAGAAAACGTTAATGAAGATGTTCCGAATATAAAGTTCCATCGCAGCAAAATGTTCAGTCACCTGAAGCGTTACCACAAGATTCACGATAAAGATATGGCCGATTTTGAGTACACCAGTCTTGTGAATCGTCAAAGCTGCGATGAAGACGATAAATTCCCTGAAGGTAGGTTGAGAAGCGAAATCTCAATTGTGTAATTTATTAAAAAATATATTATTTTGTTAGCTAAAAAGAAAAAGAGGTGCGACGATAAGACTGTTAGGAGGAGGAGACGACGTGATAATTCAGATAGCGGCGACTCTTCCTCTTCTGATATGGAGACGAACGAGAACGCTGAAGAGCATCTGCTCAGACCTACATTGAATTATTTCGCTTCTCCATCGTTCATTTTCGATTGGAACATCAATTTGAGTGAGCACAGCGACGAGGAGGAGGTGGAGGAAGAGGAGGAGGAACAACAACAATCGAATGAGTTCCGGGATGTTCTTTGCAGCGATGAGAACAGTTGCAACAGTTGCACCGATGAAGGTGAGAGCGAAGAGGATCATCCTGTTAGGAGGATGATAGAGAGTCCATACACGCCTTTGATGCGCGAAAAAATTGACGAGTTACCTTTACCTGGAATGTTGAAGGAGTTTTTGAATTATAATAGGGTTTAAGGTATTTTCTTTGAATTTGTGAACGAACGGATGAATGTTATTGGAATTTAACATTTCTTTTTTCTTGTTGTAATGTTTAATGTATATGTTTGTATAAATTAGAATATATTTTTTATTCAATATAATTAACAATCTTTAGTTTATTACAACGCTGTGTACAATTTAAAACTTGTGATCTATGTCGATATAATATTTTAAGGTGAGTCTTTCCAATTTCTTCAATAACTTTACGTTAAATTATACATTTCTATCAAGATATTGTAATAAATGGGAAATTAAAGGAATATTTGTATAGGAAATAAAGTATATTATTTAACATATTTAATTCTCTTAATTAAAAAAAAAACCTACCAAGTCATTACATTTTATTTATCATTCACAAAATTGAAAGTCTTACATTTTGCTACACACTCCAAAAATTAATATTATTAAGAACGTACAACATTACGTAACGACTAAAAAATTTCTTTTACATTTTTTTAAATTTATTTCTATCACATCAAACCATTAAAAAGTTTAATTAGAATTTAGTTTTTTCGAAAATTAATTAATTATAAAAAAAATGTGAAAATAAGAATTATAAGTATTTGCTAATTAAATGAAACGTTAAATTGTAACTCAACTCCAAAATCTCTTTGAATTTGTCTTTCACGTTTTCTAAGAACACTGATGTTTTAAGCAACAATAATAATTCCTAGAGAAGTAATCTACTTTTATATTAGATTAATTAATACATGTTGGATATCAGCGCTTCATTGAAAATGCGGAATGCGCTGAAAGTAAGTTTAATAAATTAGAAAATTAATTAATTTTAGATTTTTATAATTAAAAAAATATTGAGAAAACTTTCATTATTTTGATAATTCAAATTAATAAGACATAATTTTACAAGTTACGTTAATTATTACATTAAATTTATGCAAATATTCCAATTAGATTGAGAAATTGTAAAGTAATTATTTTCTAAAGTTTTAAATTTAGTTACGTAAAGAAGCGTAACGTTTTTTTTTCCTTTCTCTGGTATTAGGTACAGCGTTTCGAACTATGCATCTTATTGTGCGCTAGACCCTTTCAATGTAATGAGTTGCCGATTGTATGGAAGGAGAGGAGGTCGGTAGGTAGAAGGGTATAAGGAGAATAGACACTTGGTAATTGCATTCCTCGATGCTAATACAGCGGACACGCTGATAGGGTAATTGCCTTAAATTCCACATCCTTCAAGGAATTCCCTGCCTCTGTACTGTGTGTACTAGCTAGTAGCATGACTGTTGCTACTTGCTGCTCCAGCAGCAAATACATACACGAACAAGAGGTTTCTGCTTTTTGTGCCGATTCATCGTTAATATTAATTACTCGAGCACAAACACGCACGTATAGCTTCTCCCCTAATTTGGATGACTCGATAGTAATTTCGGCCGCCTTCGATTCCTACGCTATTTGCAGTTCGATATTGCACGTTTCCGCACAATCTAATTTCACAACAGTTTCTGCATTTTTTTTAAATCACGTAATTGAATAATAACAATAATTCTATGAAATTATGGAACAAAAATCAATAGTTGAGTGACAAAATAATATGAATGAATATAATGGATGGAACAATCAGATTTAGATCGTAGATGTAAATTTAATGAAACTTTTGTTTGTGAAAACGGACGTTGTTTGCATTGCTGCAACCCTTAAATAATTTAGGACGAAAATCAATATGCCGTAAGGAAACAAAATTATTATTTTTGTTTTAAATAATTCTAATATTTGTATATTTATATAAAATTAGTAGGGCTAAAAAATATTTGTTAATTTAATTACAAATTAATTAAAAAAACAAATAAAAAATGTATTGATGTGAGGAAATTAGGGAAAATGATTGATCAATTATTATAAATGAAATTTACTTGTTTTAAAATAAGTTTTCCAAAAGTTAGGTGCGCGCAACGCGCGGTCCATTCGGACGCGCGGAATTTTTTGTTCCTGAAAAACTTTGGTAAAGTTGCTGTAAGTAGTGGAAAGTTGTTCCAAGGTAGGTCATAGGATAGTAGTAGTATTGCATCGTTACTGCGTAACAACTTTATTGACTTTCATCCCTTAGTTTTCCTAAAATATCTTATGCAAAAATGAATTGAGTTGAATCTTGCATAACGTGACCAGTCCTCGACAGCTGATCATCCACGTGCTTGTGCCACGTGTCCAATGGAAATGTGCGATCAAATTAGTACAAAAAAAAAAAGTAAAGAAGACAAAAGGAAGCAACAACAGCAGTGACTTGTGAGTTAGTTTCGGCAGAAATAGAATTGAAAAGCGGGTGCCGTGGCCGCCGATTATTGATTTTCTTTGGCCGACTGCGCAACAGGGGGAGCGAATTTCCTCCGAAAGTACTTCCATATTGGATCATGCCCGTAAGAGTCGCTGGCACTGAAAAGTTTTTTTCACGCTTCCCGAACGCGTGGCGTCGCTGCGACTTTGCGTCGGGACGCCTGAAAAGTTCCTAAAACTAACCGGAAACGCATCCGCATCGCGATCCGCGTGTGCCAGTGACCATCCGCGTTTTGCCTAGGATCCAACATCCAAGGTTGGTCAGATTTGTTTTGAACTTGTTGTTTGCTAGTTTCGGGTGAGCGTCGTTTGCGTCGTCTGCATGCCGACGTCCTTCTGCCCATGCCTCTGTATGCATGGGAGAAACAAGGAGAGATAGATTTGTTAGGTTAGGTCGGACGTCGTGCCAGGATGAGGACGTGAAGGAACTTTTCTTCATCCTTATTATGTTTTGATGAATCACCGCATCGTTTTCCCACATCCAAAAACAAAAAAAAAAAAAAACGATTTTCACATCCAATTTTTTTTTTACGAACTGGACAGTCCTTATTACTTGGGGAAAACTTTTCAAACTGTCAACGAAAGTGAAATCGAAACTTTAATTTGCATACACCACGTGTATATAAGGCACTTCCAAATAACAACAAATCAAATTCTTTTTTTTTTTCACATCCTTATAGGATAATCTCTGGCGTCGGTATTCTTTTATTCTCTCGACTTTTATTATTTTTTCATCCCCCTTATCTACCACCTGTTTGTAACAAAACGCGAACGCAACGCGAGGCAAGCGAATCTACTCCCTTCAGAATAACGCATTTTCGTTTTTATTGTGCCCGTTAAGTTTTCCTCCCTTTTATGACTCTGCGAAAACTTTTTCCCAACTTTTACGCTTGCTCCTCTTTTTTTTTCCTCTCCATCCTTCCTTCCTACACCACCCACAATCTACCACCCGCTTTCCTTTTTACTCATTTATCATTAAAAACAAAAAGCGCTTACACAGATTATTTATTTATTACATAATTAATTCATTTATTACAACTGTTTTTATTTATGGAATTAAACAATTAATACCGTTATTTAAAAAAAATAATAAAATTATTATAGAAGACTTAATTAATTATATAACAGAAACAAATGAAGGGACGATGTAAATGCAATTGATGAGTTAATCTTGTAACCAAGGTAAATATGTCTGTGTAGGCGACGGAAAAAGAAAAAAAAAGTTGTCCGTTGTCCATGGAAACGAACGGAAGTTTTCCCAAGTTCGGTTTCGGTTTAGTACGTAACTGCAAAATGCTGGGGGTCTCCGAATATAATAGGGAAAGATGTTTTCAAAGAACCCCTCGCATCCCCTAAACTGGTCGGGAACGCTGCGTCTCACTTCAGCAAATCTGCCTTTTACTGCAGCTTAATCGATACATTCAGATTATATAGAAAAAGAAACAAACGTTTCGCACTGAAAAAATCACCGCATTCCTTTTTCAACTCTATTATTTTTTTACATTATTTATTAATTTTTCATTCGTGTTTTACTATTTTTTTGTTTTTGTTGCTTTTATTGTTCTCAAGTTTGCCGAACTACTTAAAACTTCCCTCGGTTATTGATTTAATGCAGACCTTTTTCCGCTACATGCATACGCATACTTGAGCAGATAGGGATTTGTAGTAGCCTTGGTTTGTGTATTTGTGTCTCTCTATCTCTCATTCTCTCACTATTTCTTACCATGTTAAACTAAATGGGAGCAAACGTGGTTTGTGTTCCAGCAAATAAGTAAACAATTCTTGGCGATTTCTGTGATTCACGATGTCCAATCAAGGGCAGCAACCGCCTCCGCCGCCGCCGCGAAAGCTGCAGAGCCATTCCATTGAGAAACTTCTGGAGATGCCAACAAGTTCGAAAGCTAAGCATTCGCGCTTCAACATCCCCACGCCGAAAAAGGTAAGTTCTCTCCTGTTCACAAAATATGTGGGTAGTTTTCTGTGCAATCCACGGACGTGTTCTACCCTTAGATACAAGAGGGTGCCACCGATTCCGAGCGCCAGATTTTACTTGACTTGTAAATATTTTGAATCTCGCTATGATCACTTCACTGCCTATTACCAATCAAAAATAAACATCAAATATTACAAAACTTTCTACGTTACCAATCATTATTGCATAATTTATTAATACTACTTTACAAAACATTTTAAGGTAAGTTAAATTAGAAAAATAATATAAAATTATTAAATTTAATAAGAAATTACAAGGTTTTTAATTGAAAATTTCTAAGTAAAAATTAGGCTAAATCAATATAATTTTTCACAAACGTTTTTTCTACTTAATAAAATATACTTACATTTTAAACAATTTTGATTAATTTCATAAAAAAGTTTGATTATTCTAATAATTATTATAAAATAAATATATTTTAACTTTTTTATAGAATTTTATTAAGAATTCAATCATTATAATTACAATAGATTAATTAAGCTAAAAATTGATGGTTTTTACGTGAAATTTTATTAAAAGCACGTGAGGTAAGTAAATCTATGATTGTTAATATTCAAAGTGAAATCTTCTCAAATATTTATACAAATGCAATACAATTTTGTGTTCCATTAGGGTTTTACAGTAATCGACTATATTTTTCTTGTTAAAGACAACTAAACTAAATGTAATATATTTACTTAGTAGACAGTGCATTTGTCATAAAGAGGAGATCGATGTAAGGAATGTCCATAAGAAACGTTAATGATATTTACTTATACATTAAGTCCCTTTCGAGGGAGGACGTAATTATTGAAAGGCTTCTTCTATATATTTATTTTATGGTTGCTCGCTCGGATATTTGTCCCATCCTATTTGTAATTTATTTAAACTGTTTCGTGGATGGATGCATACAACGAACTTCCATTATCCCTTTAATTACTTTTAGACTTTCTCTAATAATTAATACGAATAGATTTGTGTCTGCAAAGGCGCCAACTTCGTTCCGAGTTTTAAAGTTGTCACTCCGGAATACAGGACCC